ATTATATTATGACACTCGACAAAAATAACACGGTGTACGTATTCATATAATGACGCCCGATTGAAAATATTATGAACAGTATCGAAACTTGACTGGAAAGTTTCACGGAATATATAATGATATACTATACTAATACCGCCAGTCGACTAAAAATAACAAGGTAATTACACAGTATCTTATAATTATATACTAAATTATACATAAATCATATACTGATACTCAAGTGAAGATATGACGGGGTACATATCGCGATATACCATATTGTATACTGACACTCGTCTACAGATTACACGTTGTTCATAATTAAATACTATCGAATGAAAATTGCACGATACACATAATGATGTAAAGACATTCTGAAGAAAATTATCGAGATACACTTAATTATATACTGATATAATTCTACTGAATTAAGGAAAATATATAACCATATATACGTATGGTGCATACATATACATACAGTATTTGGACTTTTGTTCACATGATCAAGAGGACTGGTATTACCTTCAAACCGGGGAATCTAGTTTGTCTATGTCCTCGTGTGTGCAGATGTGGAAATTCGGACCATTAATAAAACGCTTGGCGAAAATTCGACCGTCCATTGTCCAAAACAACGTGACCTATCCACAGTTCCTTAATTGACTTAGGAGCTGGATACGTTCTCGCCTAGGCTTGGTAAGGTCTTCTGTGATGAAGATATTACTGGGGTTGTTTTTGAATAGCGATTTTACTTTATAAATTTTATTCTTGATATTCCATTTCCGGAATCTGCATATGAGCTGAGATTTTCCGGCTTTATTGATCTTACCAATAATGTGGGATCTGTTGATATCCTCCTCGTCTATCTTGACCGTGACATTTTCACCGTGAAGATTATCATTAACAAGTTTGAAAATGACGGAGTCGGTTATGTCGAGCTCATTTATCGTAAGGGGCACGTTGTGGAAGCGTAAAGAGTTCAAGTTCGTCAAGTCCTGTAATGATGCGTTATCTCCCCTGGTCTGATTGACAGTGGTTTGCATATTGGTGAGATATATAGTAGCTTCTTGCATTTCAATGTGTTCAAGTTGGGGTTTGAGGGCTTTGTTGACGGCTGACTGGATGCTGGATGTAATGGATGAAGTTAGGGAATCGCTCAAAAGTTTTACGAACTCTTCTTCTTCTTAAGGGTGCAGGGGCTCCATCAATAGTGATGATTATGCCCTCGGGGGTCCTATCACAGGGGCGTAAACAAGTGCTTATTTACAGTGATTATTTTGTTTTTTGTTTTTTTTTGTGCAAGGTATAGATAAAAGATAAAAGCTGGCGTATGTTTTAGTGTGTGATAAGGGCTTCAAGGGCTGCATAGTGTATGTGTGCCTTGAAGTCCTCTAGTGTTGTGCATTGTACTTCTGCTATGGTAAGTAGATTCCATTGTGTTATTGTGTGTGGAAAGAATGAATATTTGTAGGTGTCCTTTGTAGCAGATATGTGTTTGTATGTGTGAGGGTGTGCATGTCTGGTTCGAGGGTCTACGGGTGTGAGTATATATGTTGGGTTTATAGCTACGATTTGGTGTACAATTTTGTAAAAAAATAAAAATCATTCTTGTGTGACAGCGCTGTGTTTGTAGTGTTGGCCATTGTAGTTTATGGATCATGTCTGTTACTGATCAAGTGTTTTGGTAGCTGTTGTTTACGTAGCTTGCTGTTCTTCGTTGTATTTTTTCTATTTGTTTAATTTGGTTTGCGTTGTCTGGATCCCAAATGGAAGAGCATTATTCAAGTTTTGGTCTGACTAATGCTTTGTATGCGTGTTTTTTTTTTTTTTATATGTGATGAGTTTAGTTTTAAGTTGCAGTTTAAAAAACCTAGGGACCTATTGGAATTGGCTGTGATGTTGTTAATATGTTTGTCCCATCGTAGGTTATGCTGGATTCTACTTGGTGTAATGTCTGGTTGTCGAGTTTGTAGTCATGGTGTATTTTGTTGCGTTTCGGTGTAAGTGTTGAGTATGTTGCATTTGTCAGGGTGAAATTCCATTAGCCAGTCCGTCTCCTATTGTCCTGCTGCGTCAAGGTCCTGTTGTAGTTTTAGTGTGTCTTCTTTGTTGTTTATGGTCTTGTATATGATGCTGTCGTCTGCAAATAGTCTAAGAGTACTGTATTTCACGTATTCGTGGAAGTCATTGATGTAGATGAGGAAGAGGATGGGGCCCAAACAGGTTCCTTGAGGGACCCCAGAGGTTACTTGTATTTGTCTGATTTTTGAAGTACTACTGTTTGGGTGCGGAATGAGAGAAAGTATGTTTTCCATGCGTGTGTGTTCCCAGTTATCCTGTAATATTTGAGTTTGTACTGTAGTCGTTTGTGTGGGACTTTGTCGAAAGCTTTGGCAAAATCCATAATAATGATGTCTGTCTGTTTGTTGATGCTGTTGTTTGATGCGAGATCATGTACGAATGTGGTGAGCTGTGTCTCACAGGATCTGGAGGATCTAAAGCCGTGTTGTAGGTCATATCATATGTTGTTTTTCTCCAGATGTGTCATTGTGGCGCTTGTTATGATGTGTTCCATGAGTTTACATGTGATGCAGGTTAGTGAAATTGGTCTGTAATTTGCCGGGTTGTACTTGTCTCCTTTTTGTAAATTGGGTTGACGTTTGCGTGTTTCCAATCTGATGGAAGTGTTCCTGTAGTGAGCGAGCGGGTGAAGTTTTTTGTGAGAGTGGGTGCTGTGATGTCACTTAATTCTTTAAGTATTCTGCCGTGTATATTGTCAGGTTCTGTTGCTTTATGTGGGTTGATGTTGTTGAGTAGTTTATATATGCCTTGTTCTGCAATGTGTATTTCTGGCATGAGAGGGTGTGGAGAAGGTACTTTGTCTGGTATTGGGCAGTCCTGTTCTGTGGTGAAGGCAGATTCAAATTGTACGATTAGTATGTTGACCTTGCATTTAGTGTCAGTTTTTAGTTGTCCTTCTTTTCGTAATGCGGTTATGTCAGTGTTTTCTTTTCTTGTTTTTTTTATAAAGGAGAATATTTTTTTAGAATTTATTTTTTTGCTAGGCGAGGGTGTGCTGGGTTTGTCTATTGGTAGGTCTTGTATCATGTTTTCTATATAGTTAAGATATGCGTTGCGTGTTTGTTTTTGTAGTTCTGATTTTGCTGATTTGTATTTCTATATAAGTTCATGTTTTGTTTAGTGTAATTGTTTACATTTCCTCATGAGTCGAATGAGAATGTGTTATCCAAGGGAGTTTGGATTTGTATGTGATGTGTTTTTGTGGGATATTTTTTGTAAATGAATTAGTAGGTGTTGTTTTGAACATGTTCCAAAGATTGTCTGCGGTTTGGTTGATTTGTTAGTTAAGTTTTGGGTTTAGAAGTGTGAGGTCGTCATGTTGTTCCAGTCAGCTTTGTTGTAGAGGTATATGTTTCTGGGTTCTCTTCTTATTCTTTTCAGTCGGACGTCATTTTCAGTGTAGACTATATGTCATGGTCAGATTTGCCTATAGGTGGTGTGGTTTCAGTCTTGTTAATGATTGATTGTCTGTTTGTAAGTGTCAGGTCGAGTATGTGGTTTCCTCTGGTGGGCTTTGTCGTTATTTGTGTGAGAGAGTTGTTGTCTATGATGTCCAGAAGGTGCTGGTGACATTTTTGTTCTTGTTTGCCTGGTGTGGTTGTGTTGTTTTGCCAGTCTATGTGTGGTGAGGTGAAATCTCCACTGATGTATGTTATTGTGTTGTTGCTTTGACCTAGTCTGTTCATAGAGATTTCTAGTTGTTCTAGTGAGTGTCCTTTGTCTGATGGTGGTTTATAATATGCTCCTATGGTGAGGTTGTGTGAATTTGTCATGGAGATGCTTACCAAAATTGATTCAATTAAATGTAAATGTTTTGGATATTCCCTATTACCATAGAAATGAGGCTGAAGTCAGTTATTTTTGCATCCAAAATTGAAGATAAATATAAATCCTTGCTTGTATGCTACCATGAAAAATGTTAAATTCTACAAACCTTTTCCACAAATAGAAATATTGTAAAACAAAAACACAATAAAAATGAACAAAAGTTATAGGGATCGACCTCGAGATTTATACACTGCCCGTCGAAAAAAATTCAGCTCAGGCATAAAAATCTTCGTCACGATAACTGCTGATGCAGTGGTGCCCTTTCAGTAATTGATTATTCAGGTTTATATTATATCCAGAGTGAATTGCAATCTAACATCTCGGCTGTTTACGGGAAGGAGCAGTCGTGTTATGCCGTTCCACACCTTGCAAAGTGTGCGTGACTGTATTTATTTAAACAAAGGAGCACATTGGTACGTAAAAGGCCCACATTCATATATTCAAATGTATGAATACATATACATGCAACAAATACACACAAAATACACACATATCTACAAATACATACACATGCATACTCCTTACACACCGCACATGCATACAATGCATTACCTGTATGCATACCTATACAATGTTTATCGAGAAATCACACGAGCATTACTTCCTTGCAATACTCATAAACGAGAAACGTCATTTTTTTATCATAATCAAAAATAAATATTCAAATATACAATACACAAGCATTAGAACCTGTTATTACGATTACTTTCTTATCATTTATACTTTCTCAGCATACCAGTTACATCCCTTGTTGAAAATAAACTGCTTATGTCCACCATCTCCTTTCAGAACTGTCACTTAAATGCCAAAATGTTAAAATAATGTAGACCTCGATACCGACACGAGGTACTGTTAGACAGCCAAGTGTTCAGAATGTCAATTCTACAGAAATCAGTTTGAAGCTGGCCGTATCGACTCCTTTCGAGTACAGTCATACACATATGCTAAAGCGAAACTTTTATTGATGCAAAAATTGCATCTCACAATTTTAATATTCATTATGTTTTCTTTGTGGTTCATCTTACTTGGATACAAAATGTATTAAGTGTTATCTTTGTAAACTTTGAATTGTAAAGACAGCTTAAATAACGTAGGTGAATTAATGGATCGAAATTAGGTCATAAGCAATAAGTGGTGCCTCAATGTTGATCAGTCGTTATCAACTACCCTTGTTTAATACGTGACGTCGATGAATGTTATGTCAAACTTGCTAGATTTGACTTATGTTGAGCAAGACATCTTGTTTCGGTGATGCATTCCATACACACATCATATAGCAGACCAACTAATATTGACGTAGCAGGGTAGAGAGAATGACTCGGGACTGACGATGTTGATAATGGCGGACACTGAGATGACCAACCCAGCTAACACAGCAATACACATTATCGCGTAGTTTAGAACCTTTTTCCACATCGGTATTATTCTAAAACAGAGAGTTACATACATGTATGAATAATATGATATACAAAAATAGCGCCTTTACTAGTACACAATACAGGAAACACCTATTTAGAATAAGTTTGTCGAAATAGAAAGCCGAACAATATAAACATGTTGGTGCAATATATAGTCATTTTGTCCGTTCGAGACTCATCTGTGGTATTAATATTCAAGAATGGGGAAAAAAAAGGCTAAAGTGTTTCAAAAGATTAGGGAAAGGCGCCTACTTAACACTTCATAAAGTTAGAAATACAACATATGAAATGTTTGAAGGGGAATGACCTAAACATTCGAAAAAAATAGGAGAAACATACAGCATACAAAATGACAAAAGAGAACAAACTACACCACACTAATGTAACGAAGTGGAACAGTCTTCACTTAGGTGCACATGGACATAGGAGTAATCTACATACTACACTACATCGAAGGAAACTACTTGAAAACAACCGCTGAGAATTTCGTTTTTTACGCTCTCATTTTAATATACAAAAAAGCTCATTTGCAAAGAAAGCTCACCAAATAATATAGGTATTTAGGAAAGACTTAAGATTGATAGAACTGGTCAAAAATCAGATATTAAAAAATGCGCAAAAACACCAACCTTCCTAAACAAAATCTAAGACACACATTGATGAATGTACCTATCAAATTTCAATGACACTGCGTGATACAAGTTAAAGCTTCACCATTCACAACAACAAGGAGTAAGCATTCTGCTCAGAAATACAGCAGAGCGGGAAGTTACACATTGGTTTTTATATAACAATAACAGATGAGTAACATACATATAAAACGAAAGTAAATTTTAATAGAGCTGCGGAAACATATTTAATTGTTCTTAGATATTGATATTATACTTACTTTGTTTGCTTATCCCATGGCGCCTGCATTGCCTCAGCGTTCTGATTTTCGGCAGTTTGTTCATCAGCGTCTGCCTTCATTTTAACCATTTTCATGTGGAATAATGGAGGACAGACAAAAGCAATAATTATCATTGAAGACCCGCCCATCAAAGACAATATATCATTGAATGTCGGTAGTGTCTCGGCCACAAACAATATTGAGACAACCACAAAGAACCTCACAACACACCTCTTCCAAGTGAATTCTGAAAAATACAAAATGTTATTACCTTGAATTTTTAATTAAAATTTGATTGAATTTAAAGTGGTAGCTATTTGTTTGCGCCTTTTGTATTTTCATAACTATTTATAACATTTTCTCTTTTACCAATAATTTACCTATAATAATTTGTCATAAGTTGTTGACGTGCCTTGAAACATTTGGTAAATTCCTCCGTCTGCACTATCTTTTTAAGTAAAACCAATAGCAAAAATGAAAGTATGAGCAGTAATTATAAGAATGTTTAGCAATTCATGTCTTATTTGAAGGTCTTGTGTCATGTGATCGTTATTTTGTCCATAAAATACCTTTTGATAGATGAAGCGCCAGTTCCACCTCCTGTAACATTGGATTGAGGACTATGATGAACGCCAATACTAGATGAAAGGTAACCAATAGAAGGGCAGTGTAGGACACTCCTCCAGATGGTAGATTGTTTAATACATTGGCATCGAGGGTCTTTCCGTACACAAAATACCCGGCAAATACCACTGGTAGGTATATAAGAGTCGTAACTACAAGTAATTGGAAACGTGTCTATCAGGTGATACTCACTTATATGTTTGAGATGTGTCAATCAATAAAAAATATTTTAACCAAATAGCAATATATGGATTTATTTTGTATTGATTTGCTATCATTATGTAAATGTCTCATCTACTGCAATGTTCTTATATTAAATTTGTTTAACCTACTGACTAAGGCGTAACTGAATGCCTTTTTGAAATCCTTTATTCGTTTCATGTCCATTTGGACGGTAAGAAAAACAGGGTGGCCTGAATAAGCACACACTATCGTCCCCAGTGCCAATGCAATCTTCTTGGCGTTTGGCTCCTGGTGATGAACTATCGGCTGGTTTGGTGCATCCATTATTGAATATACCACTATAAGAACAGCAGCTGATGCGGTGGCTACAGTTGCTCCGTAAGCAATAAACCTGTAAAAGAAAACAAAACTCAAATTTATCTAAATTAAAAATAAAATTAAAACAACAAAAATAATGATTTTATTAAAAAGTTACATTGAGCAGCAAGACAGACAATTTTACCAGAAATGTTTTGGAGTTCCAAACCATGTAAGAGGGATCAGACACCCAGCTATTATCAACTGCCAGAAACAGAAGGAGATGTTATGTCCAAGAGCCCCGACTAGGGTTTCCATGTTGTTGGCGGCCAGGAGGAGAAACACGACCGCTATCCCGAATATGGTGATGTGAAGGCATATCGATACTGTATATCTGTAAAACAAAATAACAGAGTTTTGAATAAGATGAATTGATTGATTTAGATAATTATATTTATAGAAAATATCTAAATTCCCCGTTATTGAATATATCAAATGAATTTTCATTCTGATTCACAAACCTGCCAGCTTTACCGTAGGTTTTCTGTCCGAGTAGTTGATACGGGTTTTGTACATGTCCTTTGCAGTCATCGAACATTTCAATTGCAATGGTCCAGGCCTCACCTAGGAGTATACCAGTATAGGCCGATAGAATCCCACAGATTACAATCAATATCAGTCCCGCCCATCCTAGAAAAACATAAAGAACAGCATCATCAATATCAACAGCCCAATCCAGCGCAGAACCATCTTTGTTATACTCGCCCAACGCAACGTCGGCTATATCAGCTCAACGACACTGCTACACCTACATTTGCACTTGTATTGTTAATCAAATGTTTTTCTGTGTTTTCTGTGACATTTGGTGACATTTTGGTGACATTTGGTGTCATTTACTGAACACCTGTAAGTAATAACGAGTGTGAAAGACTTCACATTATTCGCACAAGTGCTTTATTGTTAAGGAAAGGGAATTCTATTTTTTGTACAAAAAAGTTTTAGACACAACACACGCAGATAAACGGGCACTATATTGTCCAATTAATTTTACAGGAAACTTTACACAGACTACACGTTGAGGAGTATCTCGTTTTGTCCTTAATTTTATTTCGCAGCTATGCAGATAATGGTAAGAGAAAACACTTATTAGACTTCTTTCACAACTACTTCTATCATTTAAAATGAAACAAAACCTGAATTGATATCATTATGACAGGACATATTGTTATTTTTGAAACATACAGAAACACACAACCTAGCTAATTCTGCTATATAATGACATTGAGATCGTGTACAGTATGAAAGGTATATAGAATATGTTGGTTTTTTTTAGTTTTTATTATGTGAAGAATGTTCAGCGTTTCTGTGTTAATTATCTAAAGGTGAGAGTTTTAAATCCCGTGACATGCGTATCTTTTTTTCAGTTTTGAAAATTGAAAACCTACATGATTTTAAAATACGTTAGAGTTCATTGATAAAACGGAATTCTCAATCATTGAGCAAGTCGTCTGGATCAATACGCGGATTCCTGCATAACATTACCGTGGTGAATACACGGAATACATACACAACGTGGAAACTTGACTCATCGGAATCAAGAATCATTGTGCCAACAAAAAAGGGTGAAAACTCCCGAATCATGAAAACAGACAACAATCGTGGTCTATACACGAAACAGCTCATCTTAAAGGGTACCCTGGACGAAAATAGAAATGAATTTATTATTATTCTATATGATCCAAAACAAATATGTCGAAAACCGCATAAATAAAGGTCAGCCAATAACGAGATATTGACGTGTGAAGTGTACGATTTTCACCTGTCCTCCTTGTACTTATTAGCATAATCGTAGCTCGCGGTGAATGGAACACTATAGCTATCAGATGTGACATCACAAGTTCAACGACTGTAGCACTTACCATAAAAGGAATAGGTGAGATCGAGAACAGCCATGGCCAAACAGCGTCAGATTTGTTTAGTTTTGAGGAATGAGATTATGCTGAAGATAACACTATGCAGATTGTATCCATTCATATAAAATTTGCCAGAAATTTCAGAGAGTGAGTTTGATTGAAACTGACGACTACGAAGAGGGTAACTCAGACTGGTAGCAATGCATGTTCAGTTTCTGAGCACTGATGAGAAATTTGCCGAATAAACGAGTTTGAGGGAAATAAAACAGAAATCCTCTCAATGTTGTTGATCAAAAATGTTTTTTTCTTTCATTTAAACTGGAAAGTCAGTTTGCAATTATTTTCTTTACTCTACAGTGATAACTAAAATTATATTCTGTGGTACCGCTACGGTCCAAAAATACGGAAATGAATCCGTGAAATTTGTTTACAAAATAACTTCGACGTTGTTGTCTGCTGTTTTTGAATGGCAGTTAAATGTATGGCATATTTGAAATATTACCGTATAATGACATATTGACGACTTTGCGTCTTCCTTATGTTAGGTCGACAATTCAAATAAACAGCAAAATACCAACAGTTACACATTTATTTGTAAACAATACAGTACTTATGTATACGATGCTAAATTATATCACAGACTTGGATAACAATCCAATTCCGATATTATATTTATCTCGAACATTTAACTGAATTACGAGATTAATTTTTTTCTCCATATACATGTAAAATACACAGGTCATAATTCACATCTTAAATTGGTTCAATAATGAATATCATATCGATCCATTAGCCTTAGCCTACTTAGGTGTGAAATTTGTGTACAGGTAAATAACACTAAACATATCAGTGTCTACCTGTGCTGACAGCAGGAGGCCCAAGACACACCTGTGTAACTGTAACCAGGTATGACATCAGAGGAATGAATTATACTGTATTATACTGTGCTATCAGTACTTATAGTGTAGGACATTATATTATATTATAGTATAGTATACAACATTATATACAACACTGCGGTTACGATGTGTGATACTTATGCTACTTTCCCACAATCACGACCTTTATCAGGACCTCAACACGGCCACACTCGACCTTAAGGTCGTGCTTGGTCGTGGAGCATCGTGGCAAATATGCAAATATGTGTCAAGTGTACGACTGTCATACAATCGTCATGCGACAGTCATAAGGCGCACTACGATGGTATACGTTTTTTATACGTTTTTTATACGATGGCAATACGGCTTGTATACGATCGGTTACGACTGTGCCACGACTTAGCACGATGTCAACACGATGGCCATAAGACCTTACAAGACTTCAGTACGACCTACATGAATGTCATACGACTGTGCAAGACTGCGATACGACATTCATACGATTTTGTTTGTTTGTTTTTTGGCTCACGTGATCTGATGTGTATATAAATGGATTGGAGATGCCTTCTTGTACCAGTCACCATGATGTTTGAGGAGGAGCAACACCTGCACGAACTGCTTTGGTGGTGGAGGAGGAGGGCCTTCTGCTTGCTGCAGCCTTAATGCTAAGGGCTAGTCCCAAGAAGAAGAATTGTTGGGGTAAAACCATGGTTATTGAGGAGACCAGAGTATGGACACTATGAAAACCTCTTACAAGAACTTCATCGTGAAGATCTCAGCAGCTACAAGAACTTCTTGCGAGTTCCTCGAGAGTTGTTTATGGAATTGATTGCACGTGTACGTCCACGTCTACAAAAACATGAAACTTTATGTAGAAAGGTTCTTGATCCTGGAATACGTCTTGCTCTAACATTACGTTACATGGCCACTGGTAACTCATATAAGTCTTTACAATATGGCTTCAGAGTGGCTCATAACACTATCATCAAAATCATACCTGAAACGTGCGAGGCAATTTTTGAAGAGTATGGAGGTGAGGTCATGGTAACCCCCACAACTCCAGAGGAATGGATGGAGGTAGCTGAGAAATTTCCAAAGGTGCACTCGATGACAAGCACGTGGCAATCCGGTGTCCTCCAAAGTCTGGCTCCTACTATTTCAATTACAAGGGCTTTCACTCGATTATTCTTCTAGCCTTGGTAGATGCTGGCTACAAATTTTGATATGTTGACATTGGGGCAAATGGTGCATGCTCTGATGGAGGTGTGTTCAAGGATACTAGCGTATATGACGCCTTGGAAGAAGGTACTGCAGGACTACCTGAACCACAGTCTTTTCCTAACGATGACCAACCTTTGCCATTCTGCATTGTGGGTGATGATGCTTTTGGTCTACGCACATGGCTCATGAAACCCTACCCTCATCGGTGCATGACATCGGTGTTCTTACATGTGCATGTTTTTTTTTGTCACTGTTCTTATAGTCCTTTAGTTTCTTGTTGTAGAAAAGTTTGTTTTCTTTGTAAAACTCAGCCAACTCCACTTCCTGTGTTTCGCTGAAGAGATAGGCAATACGTTTTCTCTTGTTGTGGAAAGTTGTCTCATCAGGCTCATGAGTATCCACAGAATTATGTACATCTTCTACATCTTGTACATCATCGTCATTATTGTATGTAGAGGATGGAGGAGGATTAGGACCACCTGGACTAGAATGAGGTGTGTCCTGGGGTATATCCTCATGAGGTAAATCCATGGGTTCATGGGGTTTCCCAATTGCTGATATGTCAGCAGTTTCATTTTCATTTTGTTTGGCGCTGAAATCCGTCTCCTCCATATGACGTTCCGAAGATCCCGGTGATTATGTCGGGTCCACATGGTCCACATCCACTTGAGGCTTCTTATTACCACCTCGGGTGCCCGATTTGGTGCCTTTGTGGCTTGATTTGGAACGAAGTTTGCGAGGAGGCATGCTTGTTGTACTTTTGTTTTTCACAATTAACTATGCAATGTGACATAACCGGAAGTTCAAATATTGGTCATGCCACGGTCTTATGGAAGTCTTGTTCAGTCGTATGACCATCGTATGAAGGTCATATGAAAGTCGTATGCAGTCGTGTTCGATCGTATGAAGATCGTGTTCAGTCGTATGAGTTCTTTCCCGCGCTGTTTTGTACGACTGAATACGGTCTTCATACGATCGCCATACGACTGAACACGAATATACACGATCTTTATACGATCGTCATACGTCTGTGTACGACTAAATTGTAGCTCTTAGGTCGTGTTCCAATTTTTGAACATGTTCAAAAATTAGAACACGACCTAAGCACCTGTACGATCGCCATAAGACGGCACATGACCATCACCGATCACATACGACTGACCACGATCATGTTCCCGACCGCAATGCGACTGAGCGCGACTGACTAGATCTGCTCAAGTCGTGCTCGAAGATCGTCTATGTGGGAAAGTAGCTTTACTTTTGATGTGCTATATCATAATGTATTTGATAGTAATCTGCTGTATTG